GGAGGGGCCATGGCCGCAGCGCAGAGCCCCGGCCCCACCCGCGGCACCGCTCGGGAGGGAGAGGTAGAGAAATGAAAACAGGAGGTGAGGGCAACGTGCTTTAGCTTTTCTGTCTTTCTCACCATCCAAACCTGTTTCAATTTGCGATTAATTATAAATAATTTTTTCCAAGTCGTGTCTGGTTTTGCCATGACGGTAGTTGGTAAGTGATCTCCCGGTCTTCATCTCGACCCATGAGCTCTTTCATCTTATTTTCTCCTTCCTGTCCAGCTGAGGGGCAGTGAAAGAGCAGCTGGGTGGGCGGCTGGCGGCCAGGCCGGGTCGACCCGCCACGATGTCGCGTGCTGTAGGATTTCATATAGCAGTTCCTTCAGGGGCAGGAATTCTTCCCGCGTTGATATGCTTTAACATCCAGCATCTTCACAAATATATAGCACTGTGTACTGGAGTAAAGTATCTCCTGAAGGGGGGAGAGAAAGAGAGAGAGGAGGAGTGCGAGTGACACACAGGGGAAATGGGGCAGTGTATCCTGACCAGCATCTGAGATGCCAACAGGTTCCTGTGTTCATAGATTTGCAAGCTGGAGAGAGCTGCTGTGCTGGGTTAGATCAGTTGTCAGCAAAATTTCTACAGGGTGGTTCATAGTAAATCAGAAATGAACCTTTACATTTTCTAGTAATTCCTCTGCGCTGGAAATGCACAGCAGGACAGTCACTATTTGAATATGTCACTGAAGTGTTTGTGAAGATGAAAGCTGAACAAAGAAACTTACTGTGCTGAAACAAAGGAGGTAGGGTAAATGAAAACATCTTTCTGTCCCTGCAGAAACTCAACGTATTGCATGAAGGTGTCCATGTCCTTGACGGTAGCTGAGAATGAATCTGGGCTTTGCTACAACAGTAAGATCAGATACCTGGAAAAATCAGAAGTCACTAAGAGAAAGACAATCTCCTGCCCTGACATTGAGGATTACAAAACAACCGGTCAAGAGCCAGATGTGGTGTGGTACAAGGTAACTATTGCTGTCTTATTGCTGTTGTGCTGCAGCTATAGAAAACTTCCACTGTTTTTAGTCTGAGGGTTAGAGGTGGCCTTTTCTGAGCCAGCAGTGGTTTGTGACTGGTCTGGAGGACATTCTCCGAGTATTAGAGAAGTAATACTAAAGTACAGGCAAGACTACCTAGCGTAGTTATTGTGCAACAGAAATCAGCATCGGTGAGGGTGTTCTGTGAAGGAGGTCACATGACTTCCCTAACAACAGCACCATGTTCCCAGATCACTGTGCCTCTGTAGCGGTTTCCGCCTTGGTGGGATGTCTCCCTGCCAGATACGGTGGAAACAAAGGGAGGCAACCTACAATGGAGCCACAGGTCTGTCGGCACCACCAGCTTCAGTAATGCTACCCATTTAATTTTTGTGAAGTCTGTTGGGTAATTTCACCAAGGCTTGTTAATTTTTCAGACATGCATTTACTTTTGCTGAGGTTCATTGAATAATTTTGAGCAAGGTCTGTTAGATACTTTTACTACTCAGCAGGCAACTTGTCTGGCTGTATCTTCTCCAAGGCCTATCAAGTATCACACACCACTTTCAGCAGCAGATGTATTGGTGGTGTGTTTCTGTAGCTCTCCGAGAAAACATGAGAATGACTAAAATCTGGGTTGTCAGGCAGACATCAAGTACCAAGACCATAGCAAGGTCTGGCAAATTTTACCTGGTGTCTGGACTTGGACCGAAGTCTGATATTTAAAAAACCCACTGGTACGAGTTGCTGCAATAAACAGTGGAGAAGAATAAAGAGCTGAGAGTCAGAGGGAACAAGAAATAGTTGGGCAAGAGGAAGAGCTCAGTGAGGTCCATGGAAAATAGAGTTTCGATTGTATGGATAAAAGCAGAATGAGTTTAGGACAAACTTGGTTCAGGTAATGAAGACAGAAACACACAAAGTAGTTAAATCCTAAATTTTGGGTGCTTGATTTGCCAACTTTAATAACATTCTGTAGAGATAGTTATTTTGTGTGAAACAAGTAATATGTACCAAGCTGCAGATTTTTTTCCTCCTTAACAGGTTGTAAGAGCAATGAGAAAAGTTGTCATCTATTTCTGCTTTTTACAGAAATCTCACGTTTACTATCTTATAGTAACAAAACGCGTGCCATAACCCACTGTTACTATAAAAAAAGTTTTTCTTTCAGCTATTGAAACTGTTTCTCTCAGCATATGGGTGGGTACCTTCAGTGCTGTTCACACATAAAATATATGAATTCAGTTAAGTCTGAAATCGTGGAGAAGAGAGGGTACCAGAGGGTACCTAGGTATTACTGAACACCAGATCACTGAAGATCTGATTTTCTTGCAAGAGCACACTGCAAAAATAGTCTGACAGGAATAATCTTCAGCTGTCATGGAGCAGAAATCAGCCAAAGGAAGATGCATGTACAATCCCACATCAGTGATGCTTTGTGCTGACCAAGAAAGGGAATGGAAGGGTGTTTGTTCTGTACACCCACACGTGTTATCTGGGTTGCACACAGAGGTGGTGTGACACCAGACTGGAGCGTGACAGCTGACTGACAAGTCATCACCATGGTGAAATTGAACAGAATTGATATGGCCGGATGATAACGGTGAGACAATCAAAGTCAACAACCTTTAGTCTGGCTTGATAACGAGAGGAAACATTAGTGGAATAACATATACCTCCTTATCCATAATTAACAACAAGGTGCTATCAGTTAAGTTCTTAGACAACACCTATGTTATCTGGACCTGAGTCAGGCAGCTCAGTAATGTGAAATGTCAATGTTATGCAGAAGATATGTATGTCCGGTTATCCCTTGAAACTTATTGCTGAAACAGGGTTTTGTAAAAATATTCTAGGGGGTATTATGTTACTAATTGTTAGTAGTATTGTGCCTATTCAAATGAGCGTAAGTCCAGTTTCTAGAAAATATGTAATTACTTGGATTTCAAAATAATATGATGAGTACTGGGGTAACCCCTACAAACTGCAGTCTGGGACTTAAGATCACTCTGTGTGAGGCAACACGTGTAACAAAAAGCAGATCCCTTCTTCCAAAGGATAGTGTGTGTAAAGTGATATTCCACTTTAGGATCCAACCCTAGCTTTCTGAAGAAGACACCTGTTTCCAGTCATGGTACACTGGATCCGCAAGTTTTTCCCTTCTGTCTTTGTGTCTGAGTTTGACGTGTTTGTAAAGGTGTAAATCTTGTGTAAATCTGCTCCAGAGGCACTGGGGCCAATTCCTTCTTATTATACTGAAATATTTAGAAAAGATTTTCATCCAGGGGGAGAGCATAAGTTGTCCAAAATGGAACAGTAGATAAATAAATATGAGGAAGTCCTTGAGGTTCCTTCTTTATACCCTTGGCTGAAAAGAGAAATCCTTGTGTTCACAAGAACCTGCCAGTTCACTGGCAGTCAGGGAGTTTGGACTTGTGACTGACGAAATACCATCAGACAGGGCAGAAATGGTGCAAGCCCACCGTGTGCAGGACTCGCTCTGCTTTCCAGACAGCTTCTCTGTGTGGAGGGATTAATGAATCTGAGCCACTAATTGCATCAATTTACAGGGAGTTAACTGTAATTTAAACACACTCTTAAAAATAATTATGCCTGAATAGATTTCCACATGCACACCTGATAAGTAATAAAACATTTGTTATGAGGATTTGTTTTAATAGTAGTATGAACTTCACTTCTGGCTAGAATTACACCGCAGGAAATATTTATTTTTAAAGATTTCCATGATTAATGCTATTGATATACACAGAGCACTGTTACGCCTCTTAGAACTGTTTTGACAAGAAGTATAAAGATTTTTTTGAAATAAATGTGTGTGTCAAGGCATGAGTGAATGAATGGGATTTAATAGTAAGAGCAGTTTCATGAAAATTCAACTGGCAGAGGAAAAAGGTGTAGTACATCTAGAATGTGGAGCCTTAATGCTTTTCCACCATCTCTATTCTGCTGCTGGGTTGAAGGAAGGGCTGTGAAAACAATCAACAGGTAGTTGTTATCTGCCCTACAAAAAATAGAGTTTTTGAGGTGCTGTCACTTAAATTTCAAGGAGGAGAAAAAGAAGCATAATAGTGGACAACTTAATTATCAGGGGGAAAATAACCCCAAATATTTAAGATGCCTAAGGAGAATAAATAGGGTAGAAAAAGAAACTTTCAGATTCTTCTAGCAGGTAAAGATGGTGCAAAAGCAGAAAAGAGCAATTAATTGGTTAAACAAGCAACAGTTGTACAGCTGAGCACTTACCTTTTTAGAGAAATTAGCAGACCTCTGACAGTAACATCTAGATTGCTTCCACAGTATGAAGACTAGTTAGATGATGTTTTATTGATTTGGTTCTTGGCTGTTTTTGTTGCTTAAAGTATAAATTGTTGTGATTTTCCACCTTTTCCCCTTTTTTGCTTTTAGTTCTGTGGGTTGAACTAATTTGTGAATAACAGGCAGAATAAAAGAGGCATTTTCAACATATGTTTAGAAAGCCTGCATAGTCAGTAGAAGAAAAATTTGTTAGCTAAAATTTGGGAAAGAAAGGCTTATAAATAATTTTTTTATAATGAAGTCTTAAGTAGATACAAAAATAATTAATTAGGAAATTAGTGGTACATTTCCAACAAAACAGTTCCTCCCTGTAAAACCACAATAGCACATTGTTTGTGGTAAATCATTAATCTCTGTAGTAATAAAGGTGTTGCCCTTCTTACTACGCACATGTAGTATATAAAAATATAAAGCGTACGAAGATGTATCTTTCATCTCTTTGCTCCCATACTTTTTAAAATAACATAGAGAATATAAAACCGGTAAGATAGTGCTGCGCTGAAAGGGTGCATGTCTGAAATATGCTTACTTTCTGTATTTTGGTAGTTGTGTTCCTTCTAAATTAGGATTGACTAGAACTGAATCATATTCTTTGCCTAGTGTTCAGATTTAGTTATTCCGAGTAGGTGGTTAATGCACCTTTAAATAGGACTGAAAAATTGTCTGCAAATGAGAAAGGATTTGATGGCATTTTCTGGCTCAGATCTGTGTCCTGCATGAGTCTCAAGCGATGTCAGTGTAATTTAGTAACAAAAATAAGTTCTGATTCTTCTTAGCACAGCAGATAGGATCTGGATTCTGATCATTCTCTGTCATCAGCGATAACTAAAGTTCACTTGGAAGGCAAGATTACACTTTCCTTACAATGGTACTTTGGAAACAGAAAGATAACCTGAGCACTCAGTTGCCTGCAGTAGAATTGCAGTTTCAGTATTCGAAATCTGACTACATTGTAACTGAATTTGGCCTAATAGGGGTAGGAATAAATGCTTCAGGGCTCCATATTCAAGTGCAAGGCCAGAAGCTCACAGTCCCATCTTTTTATTTTTTTATTATTATCCTTTAATTTAGAAACTGACATTGTGGATTTGGAACGTGTATGGAGCCCCATGAAAAAATTATGTTTATGTCATCATGATCTCTTCTTGTCATGCAATATTTTTGCACGCCAATGTATTTTCGTGTTTGGTTGTTTTCTTAAGAGAAAGCTTTTTTCTATTTTGTTTGCTGCATTTCTGGCACTGCTGTTGCAGACGAGCAGAAAATGGGGCACAGATCTGGGCTATTTACATGAATCTCTGAAGTTGCCGAGCCTGATGCAACTGCTGCAGTCTGAGAGCTTATTCCATGTTGCCACCTCGAGAGAGGCAGTAGAGGGACACTAAAGGTACTCGGGCCCTGCGTTACTGTGTGTGCTCTGGGTACAGAATTATCCAGAGCCTCCCAAACTGTGGGGAGTACTGACTGTTTTATGGAACGGAGAAAAGCGTGATTTTGTCTGCGGGCAGAACAGGCTTGATGTTAAAGTTATTGAGAAACAATAGATATATAATCTTAAAGTACCATTTTAAAGAGACAATGATCAGATTGTACCTATGCTTTTAGTTCAGAGCATTCCAAAAGATACTCAACCAGGAGTACTGTTAGCATGGAAGGTGACTGATCTGGCTGCAAGGATGCAGGATGTTGGGAAGGGGAGAGCCTCTTCTTTTACTGTATCACACACTATCCAGAAGGATTCAAGTGCTGTTCCAGAAGGATCACAATCATAGTGATGAACCTAAATCTGCCAAATAACAGCGAAGGTCTGCCTGGGGAAGTCAGGGAGAGTTGCAAGCCATCAGTACCACTTTCTCCATCAGAGGATGTACATCGGGGTGTGTCCTGGGTTTGGCCAGGACAGGGTTAATTTTCACCGGACTGCAGGAAGGGGCACAGCCGGGGGGTGGGGGCTGACCCCACCTGGCCAAACAGAGCCCGGTATTCCATACCATGTGACGTCACGCTGGGCTCCCGGGGCGGGTGGGGGTGCGGGGGGGCGCGGTGCGGCAGGAACTCACTCGCGGCTTGG